GCTGGGAAAGTCTACTGCCTTCTTTTTTAACTGTCTGTAGACTCCATTTTTACTTTTTCGTGTGGCTGTTGAAAAAATTGGATCGCCAACATGATCGCCAAGGTCCGATGACAAATATAGCACAAGAAGAAGAAGAAGACTCCATTTATGACTAAATGTACTCCGATGACAGAGTACATCGGAGTACATTAGCCATGTTTTCAAGCCGTGCGCATGTGTGGAAGCCGCACGTGCGAGCAAAGCGCATGCACAGAAGGCCGCGTGCATGCGTGGAAGGCCGTGTGCATGCACACACTCACATTTTCAGTGCTGGGCAAACCGGTAGGTAAATTATGTCAGTACCACCCCTGCCTATAAGACAGCAGGGTTATGTATGGGAGGTCCTTGGTGCTCTATGAGTTTGCTTGTTTTCTTTCACTACCCAAACTAGGTAACATCATCAGTGCTAGTCTGTTTACATATGTCTAGAAAACAGTTAGTGTTACATATGTCTAGAAAACAATTAGGATATGCCTTAGTCCTCCCACAGATTAGATGATTCCTGCTTGCTGGACTTTTTTCAGGGTTTCACATAAGCCTGATGAAAGTTGACACTGCTTTAAGATCCATTTTAATGAGTGGATTTCTTAAAGCAGCAATAACTTTATCTCAGGTGTCTTGAACTGTACAACATATTTGGAATTGTTGAATAACAGAAAAAATGCTGTGCTCATGTGTGATCTGAAGCTTGCTTTCTGATTTTTTTTTTTTTTGAGTGTACATAGCCTCATAAAATGTTGCCACCATAGGGCAATAAAATCTGTAATGTGCAAATGCTAAGGAAGAGGAATTACAATTATATGCAAACCAGGTTCTAAAATAGAATGAGTGATATAACTATTAAATTTATTTATTTATTATTTATTTATAATACAATATAGTAATATTTTCAGCAATAGAATAATAAAAGCAGTAAAATAAGCAACAATGACAAATACTAAAAACATAGTTAAATATAATTGCATGTGAAAACCCAGTACAAAGAAAAAGAGTAATGCTGTTTAATAGTATTAAATAAAGCGCTTGGAAAAAGGGAGAATTCTTTTTGACACTGAAGGATATCAATCTTAGTTGTATCTGACAACTTCAATCTGAATGAGTTATAAAGATTTCTCAATAATTATGTAGTGTTTCCCCTTGGATATCACCATGGGTGTTTCTTCCTAATCACACATTTTATTTATTATTGGGTTTATTTGGAACATCTCATGCTGATACAATCCAAGAACAAAGTAGAAGCATTTGCATAGCAACATTGTGTGTGATATGCATTGGTCTATTTGCCACAGAAGCTACTTTGACTTTGCTGGATCTAATCAGTTAATCCAGTATGGCCTGATCACCACTTTCAGGAGCGAGGCACCACCCATCAACCTGCATCTTAGTTGGTTTGCTATCAGTGGTAAGTTGTGCCACTTCAGCTCATTAGAATAGAATAGAATAGAATAGAATAGAATAGAATAGAATAGAATAGAATAGAATAGTAGAATAGAATAGAATAGAATAGAATAGAATAGAATAGAATAGAATAGAATAGAATAGAAGTAGCAGTAGCAGTAGCAGTAGCAGAGAGTAGCAGTAACAGTAGCAGTAGCAGTAGCACTTAGACTTATATACCGTTTTACAGTGCTTTACAGCCCTCTCTAAGCAGTTTGCCGAGTTAGTATATCACCCCCAACAACTGCCAAATTGCAGGCAGCCGGCAGGCAGCAAAAGTAGCCTGAAGTACTGCACTCTAACCGCTGTGCCACTTCAGCTCATTAGAATAGAATAGAATAGAATAAGAATAGAATAGAATAGAATAGAATAGAATAGAATAGAATAGAATAGGAGTAGAGTAGAGTAGAGTAGAGTAGAACACAACGCAACGCAATGCAACGCAACGCAACACAACACAATAACATTTTAAAAAGTGCCTTGTCCCTCCCCACTCAGTCAGAAATTCATATTTCAGGAATCATAAATCTGCCCTTGAAACATTCAGAAGGACCATTCAAAACGAAATGGGACAAAAAAAGGTGCATTAAAGTTTGTGCATGCATGAGATGCATGCAGGTATAGGAGGGCCATGGGAGTGAAGACAAGGAAAGCCATGCTGATTTCAAATAATTTTAAAAGATGTTTTAAACATGTTTATGTTTATATCTACAGTATGTTATATGCTTTTTATAATGGATATGATACTGTTGTCATTATTATATAAAACAATAATAATTAAGCACGGTAGAAATACTGTGATTCAGAATTCTTATGAAAAAGATTCCCCTATTTTTAATTGCTAAAAAAAGATTTCTATGTTATTCAAATAAAATGTCTCTCCAATCAATACGCTATCAACTCTACTGGACTGTAGCTGAGATAGGTGGGGCGGGAATTATATTTCTATCACCTATTATTTAAAAAGTAGAAGTTAAAGTCTTCATAGAGGACTATGCTATAGCATCTCCAAGTTATAGATAGAAATCCAGCAAAAAACTGTATATAAATAAGTTAAGTCTAAGGGTTCTGCTTTTAATAGATGTGTTGAAAGTAGTGTTTGAGCCACTCTGAGAGAAATTACATTTGAACGTCTTGGATACTGCCAAAGCATACACGGTCCCGCATGGTAATGCATCTGATTACTCTGTAAGCAACGTGGTAACCTCTAGATATTTTTGAGTTTGCCCCTCTTTTGGAATCCAAATGTAAAGAGAACATTGGATTATGTACTTCGGCCTGTAACTGGTAGCAGTGATTGTATTAACAGGACAGATGTTATTATGATGGTATTGCTTGTGTGAACATGTTTAATATTGCTTCCCAATTACATATGTATTGACTCCCAGGGGCTTATTTCCTCAGGTAAATGACTCATGTTAGCATATGTTTGAGAGATCAAGGTTATCATCCTTCATGCTTTGTGTTATAGAAAACACCTGACAATATTGATCAAACAAAAGCTCTACAGTATCCACATAGGCAATATAATTCCAGAGTTGGTGTATGAAACATTTCCCTTGTCTCTGTAGCAATTATTAATGAATGGAATAAAGCTGCAGGTGAGCACAAAGGGCTGCTGTTCTTTTCTGGTTTTCTTGCAATATCAGCAGTCCAGATTGTATACTAACACCATGTATCATACCTGGAAACACACCAGTTGTTGATAGGTATTTGTGAAAGCTATATTTAAAAATGAAAAGCCAGCTATCTCTGATTGGGCTTACCTGGGAATATTAAATACAGTATTCTTCTTCGTGAGATGAAATCAGGGGCTTATTGGGGATTGGATAATTGGAAAAGTTAAGAATTGTACTTAGTGCTTTTGTGAAGAGGCTATGCTCCATGCCTGTAATGTGATGCACAATATGCAATTTATTTTTATGTTGTTATGTTATGTTTATGTCCCAAATTAAATTAGTTAAAAATCCATATAGAGTTTTATAATCAGGCAATTTATTGAATGTTTGGTTATAAGACACCCGTGTATTATAGCAATCATAATAGCAATAGTACTTAGACTTATATACCACTTCCCAGTGTTTTACCCAACTCTCTGAGGTTTACAAATGTCAGCATATTGCTCCCCACAATCTGAGTCCTCATTTTACCGACCTTGGAAGGATGGAAGTCTGAGTCAACCTTGAGCCGGTCAGGATCAAACTGCTGGCAGTCGGCAGAATTAGAATTAGCCTACAAAAATACTGCATTCTAACCACTGCACCACCGTGTCTCCTTTGTGGCACAGTGGTTAGAATGCAGTATTGCAGGCTAACTCTCATTTATCTCTCATTTAAATATCAATTATCATTTGGGGCTGATGTTTTCTAGAAGAACCAGAAAGATTTTTCTTTCTTTCTTCTTCCTTTCCCTAAAAACTACTTCTACCAGCAGCTAGCTCATCTGGATGTTTTGTGAAAGCTTGAAAGAATACAGTAGGCAATATATTTTACCTATCTTCCTTGGTTTTGACTGTCTTCTTTTCATGACTCAGTTGTGAGCATTTACAAAAATGCACACTTCAAAAAATCATCATATTCAACATGCTTAAACAAAGTCATTAAAACACCAATCTTCTATATTTGTACAAGTTGTGAAACTTGGCTAGTTTTAACCATTGTTGATCTTATTGTGGCTTTGGGTGTTCTGGAAATATAGCCCATTTGGTTACTTTATGTTGTGCATACCTAGAAAAAGGTTAATTCAGTAACCAAGATAAGTATGTTAGCTGTTGCTTGATATATCTCGTCATCTTGCGCCTGGACTACTGCAATGCTCTCTACATGGGGCTCCCCTTGAGGAGCACCCGGAGGCTCCAACTGGTCCAGAATGCGGCTGCGCGGGTAATCACGGGAGCCGCCTGGCGCTCCCACATAACACCGCTCCTGCGTGAGCTGCACTGGCTCCCAGTGGTCTTCCAGGTGCGCTTCAAGGTGTTGGTTACCATCTTTAAAGCGCTCCATGGCGAAGATAACCTAGTTATCTTCAAGACCGCCTGCTGCTACCGATGACCTCCCACCGACCTGTGCGCTCCCACAGAGAGGGCCTCCTCGGGGTGCCATCAGCCAACAATGTAGGCTGGTGACCCCCAGGGGGAGGGCCTTCTCTGTGGGGGCACCTACCCTCTGGAATCAGCTGCCCCCAGAGATAAGGAGAATCCAAGACCTCGGTGCCTTCCGCCGTGCCCTTAAAACTTTCTTTTTTCAGCAAGCCGGGCTGGTTTAATATATTTTTAAAATATTTTTAATTGGTTTGTTATTTTAAATTGGGGCCAAATTAATATATATCTTTTTAATTGTTTTTAATGTTTGTATTGTATGTTTTTATCTGGCTGTACACCGGCCTGAGTCTCTCAGGAGAAGGTGCGGTATATAAATTCGAAATAAAATAAAAATAAAATAAAAAATAAATATATACTTAAAAGAAATGGTGAAAACTTGGCCAGTGAAAGTATATGGAACCCTGCTATTTCTCTCTTCCCCAAGGCATCCGTTTATGCATTAGACACTTTGAAGGAAATAAAAACAGCGGGCATTTTTGAATGGAGAAGCTACAAACCCAGGAAGAATTCAGCCACAGTTGTGGAAAACTGCATTTCCTCAAGGACAATCTGTTGGGGATTGCATGGCACGTGAGTATGAAACTAGAAATAAATAGGGATACAGTCAAATATGTTTTTCTCCCTCTCTCCCCATTTGATACTTCTCTTTTACTTTTTTTCCCTTTATAATATCCTTCCCTACTGTCTTCTATAATTTCTTGCTTTAGGCTTGCAAATTTTTCATCCCAGCATCAAGCATCTACTCCACTATTTTTATGATTCAGTTACCACCTACCCTGATGGTGTTTCTCCTTTGTCAAAAAGTCTTACCTGCTTTTCTGTATAGCATACAGTTATGCCCTGAACTGTATTTATTGCAAACGTCTTTACCTACTGGTTAATTTTCATTAATTGATGCTGGGTCATAAATTTCTAATTGTTCCATTTTCCTAAGTTTGAACTGTTTACGCATCATTTTCAGTAGATTTTCTATCTTGTTTTCCACCTCCATTTTAAATTTTCCCAAAGCAGGAAACAAAGATTTTTGCTCCTTTTACCTGCTTTAACTACAGCAAACCAAAGAGGGAGGGAGGAATTGTCAGAAGAAGGCAATGATCATATGCCATGCAAACATCACTGTAACACCAAATTTGCATTTTCTCTTTCAAGAAAGGCTAGAAGTACTTCTCTGTCTTTAAAAAACATCACTAGGAGATAATTTTCTCTTCTCTTGCTTGTCCATGCCCTACCATTTGTATTAAATACTGTTTTTACAATACAACTGTAGCTACACATGTCAGGCCCAGAGAGGGCTTAGGTAAAGCGTAGAAGAACTGTGCAAATAATTCAGATTTGTTTTTCTGGTGAGCCAAATGATTACTCAACTCTCTTCCAATAATCAACAAAGATTCTTCTTTCATACCATATTTATTCACCTAAAAGCAAACCTATTATATGTGCAAGGGTGTGGGTGTCACATTGACAAATAGACATACCATTATTATACAGAAATAAATACAAGAATTATATATCCACATATGCTAGATATTTTAATACCACATTTATTCAAGACTGGATCTTAATTTAAGCTGAACTCTCCATCCCAAAAGCCATAAAACTTCGTCACTTCCCAGCAATTTAAATGAGGCTTCCAAATAAATATAATATATTTTATTATTTTTGTATTTATTTATTTGTCAAACAAAAATTACAAATTGGATTGGACAAAATGAAAAAAATGTGATAGGTTTTATAGGCACCTTAGTGCACTTACGCACAACCCTTTAAGAAGCTCTTAAATATGGGATGAGGGCCACAGAAGTTAAGTTGGAATTAAAACTGTGAAAGTTAGTAGCTGAGACAACTGAATCTGGTAAGATATTTGACAACTCTGTTATAAAAATCAATGTTTATTAATCAAGTCTTTTGGCTGTTCACCGCCCAGAGTCCTTCGGGAGTAAGGTGGTATATAAATACAAAATAAAGTAAAGTAAAGTAAAAGTTTAAAGTGGTTTAAATTAAGTTTAAAGTGGACGTATTACCATTAAAATGAAAAAAAATCATTTACAGGTAAGATGTTACTATGTACAGTTATGTATGCAATACCTAAATCTGACCAAGCGTCACAGTTCTAAACTATCCAAACCAAGAATTTCAAGCATAGTAGCATAATGTATTCTATTATGGACAGAAGACTGCAAAACTTTTCTTGTAAATTATTCCTGAACTCGCTCAATTGTAATAATGTCTGCTTTGTGGTCAGGATTCCAAACAGTTGAACAATATTCTAGGATTGGCCTAACATGTTTTGTAAGCTCTAGTGAGCAATACTGTTTTTCCCCCAAAACAAATTTTGTATAATTAAATTCACAACTTTTAGTGCTTTTTTATATGTTGTATTTATTTTCCAGAAAGATCTGCAATTTAAAATAATCCACCCCAAAAAGAAAAATTAAGAAAAAATCATCTATTTTCAATACCAAAATGTAAGGGATCTAAACAGATTTTTGTTTGTTTTAAAATTATTTTTTGACAGAAAAAAATATCTTTCTTTCACATAAATATACAACAGATGTAGAAAAACACTACATACACAGCTTAGAGACTTCAGTTGGTCTTCTTGATGCCACTCCCACTATTACTACAAGAAAATTGAGGTTCTAAACATTCCCTATCCTTAAAAGGTGTAGAAGGTTAGTACCCACCCTTCTCCTAAAAGAATGAAATATTCTAGGGAATATTAAAAAGGCAGAATATTATAGCTCCCTGGATGAGAAAAGACAATACATTGGGAAGCAGCTCCCATCTTTGTTAATAGCCCCAGACAGACTGGGCCATCCTATCTACAAGACAAAAGGTTGGGCCATCTTATCTACAACACAAAAGACCTTCACCCTCAGAATATAATAGGATTAGCCCTCTACCCATTTCACCACATAACACGTGAGAAGATTACATCACCCAGCAAGATTCAACCAAGCCTGGGATTCAAGACAACCTACAAAGTTATCCCTGCATGGCTCCATGGGAGTCTGACAAACAATCAGAATACATTTCTTACACAGGAACAGGAAGCTCCAAAGCAGGGCCCAAGAGAAGGTATATATATATATATACACATATATATACACATACATACATCTTTCTCTCTCTCCCCCTCCCATGTGCTCTTTTTGCCCATGACCTCAGACCATGTGGTCCTGTCCACCATTAAACCATCTTTCCAAATAGCCTCCATGTTTCCAGTGTCTTTCTCCCCACTTGGAACTGAACCCAGATGTACATTTCTTCCAACAAAGGTTAAATCATGGCAACTGGACCAAAGTTTACTAAAACAGAGACATTTCATTACTCATCCAAGTAACTTCTTCAGTCAAAATGAAAATTTTTGGTAGGTAGAGAGTCAGAGAGTTGTTAGAAAGAACCAACTCTTGCCACAAAGACTGCAGGAGTTTTCTCAACCACTAATGGCAACATAATTAAGTGCTAATGAGTGACTCACAGCATTTTCTAGAATCAAGCAATCATTGCTATGCCAAGTAAGTGCTAATGAGGACAAGGTTTTTGTAAATATCCAATATAACATAGCATAGCTGTTAACTCTTATCAAGTTGGAACCTAAAGTAACTTTCTGCAATCATGTGTCTTCAAGATGTTTGAAATAATATCTATGCTAAGTTTATATTTTTGGATTATTTTTTTCTTGAACAAATGAAAGGGAGAGTTACAAATGGCAGATAAGATATATTCTATGCTAAAGATAGAGTAGTTACATAATAGAATCAACACAGACACATTTCAGTTTGACAGAGAACTAAATCTGAAAAATCTGTAACTGCAGGACAATCCTCCATGACTACAAAAGGTATCTGCTATAAGGAATAGTATATTTGAATGGCATATTTTTAAAATATGTGTTTTACCCTGAAAAAAAGAGGTTCTGCAGTTAGATAGAGGATTCACAACTACTGGGGTCCTGAGGAATACATAAGAAAATATTTGATATACAGGACAGACATTTAATAGATTAATTGGGAAATTAAAACATTGTTGGAAAACTGTAAGAAATCAGCATTTCTTACAGGTTGGAGAAAATCTCAGAATACTGTTGAAAACTCTCAGAATACTGTTGAAGGATTATGTCTGAACATTGTTTTGAGATTGCTAAATCATTCATCTTGGAAGAAAGGAAGGAGAATTGTGATATATTTTGAAATGAGAAAGACAGTGTCCTCCAGGGATTTCAGAACTGGAATTTGAACTGGAAAGAGCCAAATGCAGCCCCTCCCCTGATCTTGGGCCAATCAGCCTAATCTATCAGATTATTGAGAAAATGGTGATAAAATGAGTTTTTTACATTAGCTTGAGCTCTGTGTGAAAGGTGGAATATCAACATAATAAATAAAATTTAATAAAACAAGTTAGGGCTTTTCAAAGCATGGTGTAATCTTCAAAAGATTGGTTGGATAATATAAGTTATTAGATTTTTCCTTGATTTGTTAAATATACACTATTATATGTGACCAGGGGATAAATAGACACATGCAATTATTATGATCAAACCTGATATCCTGTTCACCTGTTACTGTACAATGTTGCCGCAATTACACCTCAGCAAAACCTTGGAGAAATATTGGCCTTATTCCTCAAGCATCATATTGTTTTTTGCATATATTTGAATAAGCACTGCAAAACATCTGTTACAATCATGTTGCATAAATGAAAGCTGTGCAGTGGTTTGGATTCAAAGACAAAATGGTGCTTCGGAGATTACAGCCTGCAACCAATTAAACCAAATATGTCCTTTTCTGGAATTGCACAGCAGCTTCAATGGGCAGTTGCACAATCCTGCATAAAGTCACAACTGCTTTAAGAAGTTTCAGACAGATGTGAGAAGTTCCCCCTTACATGCTATAGAATCATCCTATACTGTCCATTCTTGCCCCATTCTTTTGGCCTTCTTTGATGCGCTCTAGAGGCCTAGTATATCAATTCCTTCTACAAGGTAATATCTGATTTAAAGGGTATAGTTCACAAAACTTTATGCCTTGGTAAATGTGCTTGCCATTAAGGTGCCACAGTTATTTTTGTTGTTTTCCCATAAACTAATGATGTTTGTGGGCATCCAGGGAGCAATACAAGCGAGAAGATGAAACAGCAGCAACAATACTTAAAATTTTAGTCTTGGAACTGTCCTTTTTTTTGTCCAGAAGGATTAAAAAGATGGCAAATTTTGCATTCAGATAGCCAGTGCCATCTGTAACCTCTGGTAGTCACCTAGAATCTGGTATTTAACAAAGGCAGAGAAATGTGTAGAATTAAGAAAAAGACTCTGCTGTAAAAATGTTATTTTTTTCAGTTTGCTAAGAGTCAATAAAATGTAGAATATCTTTACTGAAGTTGGTATATGATCATATTTTTCTTTTTTTTTTAAACAGTGATTGTCTGTATTATATCAGGATTTTGTATAGCTAATCATTGTGGGAATATACCTACACCTATGCTGAAAAAAAAAATCTGGACTATCACTAGATAACTGGGGGGGGGGGAATACAGAGGACAAACTCTTTAGTCCCGTATAACATTGTGAT